TTTTTTTTGTTAGAATCCACCGAACTTCTTGCTCGCTAATGATCTATCCCAGTACGTGACTCCTAGGGTCATACTTCACGACACAAGGTCAGAACATACCGGCGAATCGCCTGCCGATAATCAAAGTTTACCTGACACTTTGATCGAAGTAAACGACTTTGGCGACCGCCTTAAAACCGTAAGCTTACCTTGATTCATTTAACCAGCATGGAAAAAAAGATAATGATTTTAAAGGGAATGCGAAATTCGATAGGGATAAACACCCAAAACTTAATTTGTTTACTAACATGTAGAAGCTTCCAGATTCTATGTGCGTTGATTTTGCTTCATTTATTTAACGTCATAGATGTAAACTTTTTTAAGCCAGCGTGTGTTAATGAAGATGAACGAGCGAAGGAACTTATGGAAAAGTATGGATGCGAAACATCAGCAATGCAGGCATGTTAATTCAATATACTTTAGAGAGCAGACTATTAACCAGCTTTACCTTAATTTGAATGAAACGAAGGCGGCTCTTCTTCGTTTGCAGCAAAATGTGCGTTTGAATATTTATCTCAGGTTGAAGAAGTATTGCTGAGTCTTTATTCAGTTTTGCATGACGACCGAGAAGCTGCAGGTGCGAATATCTGAACTGGAAAACTCATTGTCCAATGCCAACAGCACCATCGAAGACGTTACACAGGTAATAGTGCGTTCATTTGCAGTACGTTTTCGACATAATTTTTAAGGAAAATGAAGCATGCAGAAGTATGTGTGAGAAGCTACAGAACGAGAAGAATCAAGAAATGGAGCAGAAGATCGCTGAACTGACCGGTAAGATGAGCAGTGACATACGAAATTGCTTTAGTGATATTCTTGAAATTATATAAGAAGAATAACCATTCCACCAAATTGGTTCATATTACTGCATGATGGCCATAGTGGGCTGTTGTTGTGTGGATGATCACCGAGACTATACCTGATCCTGCCCCGTCGTACCAAGTGCTTTTGTTTAGATTTTACTCTGAAGTTTAATTTTAATGCGTCTTCCAGCTTTTGATTACCACCGTATCATTAGT